CTTCTGCACCCGCTGGCATCCGCAAGTCTTTGTATTCTTTGTATAGGCCACATCGCATCCAATGAGGCAGTGCGATTCCGAATGGGTGTAGAGTGCGTGCCGCATCGCAAAAAGGATTGCTCAACGGCGAAAACTTCATCCTGTAAGTGACCTCGAAAACCTGAGGGAAAGAATTCCCCTCATATTTCCTTAACCTTTATAAAACAAACGTTTATGTAGTGAGCTGGAACAGTGCCAACTCTGTCTGCATTGGTGGCATCATTGATTTTGCAAAATCGAAACTACGCTCAAAATGATCGGGAATGGCAATCCTTCGCATAGCAACTGTCCAGGTTCCGACAAATTTCACAACATGAACTACTACATCAAAAGTTTCCGAGAAAATGCAACGGATCACATTCACCACACCCGCAATTGGTGTAGTTAAACAAGGGTATACCGACGACTTCGCTAGAAAAAAAAGGATAAAGTCTCACCATTGATGAATACCTTTTTGGGATACGACGCGCATTCCAGTTACTTTCAGAATCGCAGTGACTTAATATGGCCTATAGAATGTCTTCCGGCTTGGTTGGCCTGGGCGAGAGACGATCCGGGACCTGACCCCGAACCGCGCGCATGGTAGGCGTGCCACTTGCCATTACGCCACCAGCGCCTCAATTTGGGAACATATGTGGAAAAATAGTCCATGAGAGCTACTGCGCAGGAACCGAAGCTCCTCGTCTCTAGAAAACAGTTCATCTACAGCGGATACAGTTACATAGGTTCCGCTCACACAATAAAAATTCCGCAGTAAATCTCAAAAAGGTGGGTTACTGTACGTAAGGTGCCGCCGAATATATCAAAACTGCTTGTCTGACACCAGCTATCAATCAACGACACCTGTTCAACTTTCCGGGAGTGCGGTTGCGAGAATTTCGCTAACCCGCTAGTTTCTTTAATTTGGTGAGACCTGTACACTTATGTGAAGCAGCAATACAGCACAAGGTTTGCCAAAAAAAAACATTTGATGAGACTTTGAACTCTTGCAATTTCACGAAATGGAAAGAGCTCAACTGTAAATGTTTGTATGGGCTTCACAACTTGATAAAAAAATTATTATGAAACATTATTTGCAAAATGCTGCACTTGCCACGTTGGGAATCCCCAGCGAGGGGAATCGTACTTCTTTTGGTCGTTGGAGGGAGAGCGCCGCATTTTGTCTCGAGGAAAAAAGGTTCCGGTTGCTGACTTTTCTTCGGTTTCCCTGTTTCAAAAGCGCTATTATATTCCCCACCACCCCCCACCCTAATGGCGCCCTTTCGCTTTTTGGAGGAGAAGTGAAGGAGTTTTCGGGGAAAAATCTCCGTAAAAATGGGAGAAGTCAGGGGAAGGCAGGTAGGATATTGGCATGAGCGAGGGCGCGGGGCGTATGACAGAAGGAAATTTTGAGAGAGGGGGGGCGTATTACAGGAGGAAATTTTGAGAGGGGGGGTCGTATCTTGCAAAAATCTTCCCCAACGACAGGATTATTATAATGCCTCAAAAGACTTCTCCCCACATTATTTAGTCCATATACTGTACATTGCTGCACCCTGTAACAACCATATCAATCCTTTTTTGCTTCAAAAAAAATCCTTGTCACTACTCTGTCGCACTGCTCAAAATCGAACTATCAATAAAAGGAAGTTAAGACAATATTACCTCGGTAACTCTTTAACCATCTCCAGTGCTGGCACAATGAAAGGATTTCTGAACCGGCAACCAGCAGGAGGTCGTACTCGTGGCTCACAAAGGTGAATCTAAATAACTGTGATGTACGGCGAAAAACCAGCTTTTACAACTAGTAACAAAGGGTATCGAACTCATGCTCACATGTAGTTGAGTTCTCTGGAGCGATAACCGCATTTTCGCCAACTCTACTTCTGGGTCCCTCATAGCCTCCACTTCTCGACGATCTCGCCGCGCTCCACGATCCTTCATGCGCGACTGAAGTGGCTGCCAATCGCGTGACGGTGGGGAATACGGTATACGTTCAACGGGAACCTACAACACCTTACATGAACGAAGTCGTTTCAGCAAGAATTCCAAGGAGCACAATGTCCAATCAAGGAGATCCTTTACGTCTTTAATCCTCATTAAGCTCACTAAGAACCAGATCTCTTGTCTACTCCATGAAATTTATGGGATGTACAATGGAACACTCACAACTGGCAAAGGAACCATGTTCTGCTGCAGCAGCACTGACAGTGTAGTACATGTCTTTCTCAAATTCTTCCTTTCCTTGCGTTTTCAGATCATTCAGATAATTGAGCAGCGCTGCTGGATAGACCTGACTCAACGAGACACCTCGTTCGTCCAGCAAACTGGACTCCATTTTCATTTTCGTGAGAGCATTTCTGAGTGGCTGGAAAAAAAAATTATGCTGAATGTCTCCTGAGCAGTTCCCACACCGAGTGCAAAAGTTGAAATGAATGGTTCTGGTACCGTGAGATAGTAGGGAGGCATAGCTTCGACATAACGATCAAATCTTGCACGCCAGTTACCACCATTACGAACTCGGGGATGCCTGGCGAAATCGGATTCGCGAATGACCTCAGACGTAGGTCGTGCAGTGGCAAGTGGCACGCTTACAACGCTCATTGTCAAAAGGTTGAGTCCCGGATGGGCTCCCGCCCGGGCCAGCCATGCCCTCTACCCTCCGGGATTGGTAAATGGGTTGCAGATCGTCGAGAGAATAAAAACACTGACTTGTACATCGGCTGGCCACCGCAAGTCATTGTATAGGCCACATCGCATTCAATAAGCCACTACGATTCTGAATGGAAGTAGAATGCGTGCCGCATCCCAAAAAGGATTGCTCAACGGCGAAAACTTCATCCTGTAAGTGACCTCGAAAACCTGAGGGAAAGAATTCCCCTCATATTTCCTTAACCTTTATAAAACAAACGTTTATGTAGTGAGCTGGAACAGTGCCAACTCTGTCTGCATTGGTGGCATCATTGATTTTGCAAAATCGAAACTACGCTCAAAATGATCGGGAATGGCAATCCTTCGCATAGCAACTGTCCATTATAGGTTCCGACAAATTTCACAACATGAACTACTACATCAAAGTTTCCGAGAAAATGCAACGGATCACATTCACCACACCCGCAATTGGTGTAGTTAAACAAGGGTATACCGACGACTTCGCTAGAAAAAAAAAGGATAAAGTCTCACCATTGATGAATACCTTTTTGGGATACGACGCGCATTCCAGTTACTTTCAGAATCGCAGTGACTTAATATGGCCTATAGAATGTCTTCCGGCTTGGCTGGCCTGGACGAGAGACGATCCGGGACCTGACCCCGAACCGCGCGCATGGTAGGCGTGCCACTTGCCATTACGCCACCAATTTGGGAACATATGCGGAAAAATAGAGAGCTACTGCGCAGGAACCGAAGCTCCTCGTCTCTAGAAAACAGTTCATCTACAGCGGATACAGTTACATAGGTTCCGCTCACACAATAAAAATTCCGCAGTAAATCTCAAAAAGGTGGGTTACTGTACGTAAGGTGCCGCCGAATATATCAAAACTGCTTGTCTGACACCAGCTATCAATCAACGACACCTGTTCAACTTTCCGGGAGTGCGGGTTGCAAGAATTTCGCTAACCCGCTAGTTTCTTTAATTTGGTGAGACCTGTACACTTATGTGAAGCAGCAATACAGCACAAGGTTTGCCAAAAAACATTTGATGAGACTTTGAACTCTTACAATTTCACGAAATGGAAAGAGCTCAACTGTAAATGGTTTGTACGGGCTTCACAACTTGATAAAAAATATTATTATGAAACATTATTTGCAAAATGCGGCACTTTCCACCAGCGCCGCAACGCGCTATTATGCGTATTTCCCCACCCCTGACGGCGCCTTTTCGCTTTTTGGAGGAGAAGTGAAGGAGTTTTCGAGGGAAAAATCTCCGTAAGAAAAGGGAGAAGTCAGGGGAAGGCAGATAGGATAGGGCATGAGCGAGGGCGGGGGGGGGGCGTATTACAGGAGGAAATTTTGAGAGGGGGGTATCTTGCAAAAATCTTCCCCAACGACAGGATTATTATAATGCCTCAAAAGACTTCTCCCCACATTATTTAGTCCATATACTGTACATTGCTGCACCCTGTAACAACCATATCAACCCTTTTTTGCTTCAAAAAAAATCCTTGTCATACTCTGTCGCACTGCTCAAAATCGAACTATCAATAAAGGGAAGTTAAGACAATATTACCTCGGTAACTCTTTAACCATCTCCAGTGCTGGCACAATGAAAGGATTTCTGAACCGGCAACCAGCAGGAGGTCGTACTCGTGGCTCACAAAGGTGAATCTAAATAACTGTGATGTACGGCGAAAAACCAGCCTTTACAACTAGTAATAAAGGGTATCGAACTCATGCTCACATGTAGTTGAGTTCTCTGGAGCGATAACCGCATCTTTCGCCAACTCTACTTCTGGGTCCCTCATAGCCTCCACTTCTCGACGATCTCGCCGCGCTCCACGATCCTTCATGCGCGACTGAAGTGGCTGCCAATCGCGTGACGGTGGGGAGTACGGTATACGTTCAACGGGAACCTACAACACCTTACATGAACGAAGTCGTTTCAGCAAGAATTCCAAGGAGCACAATGTCCAATCAAGGAGATCCTTTACGTCTTTAATCCTCATTAAGCTCACTAAGAACCAGATCTCTTGTCTACTCCATGAATTTATGGGATGTACAATGAACACTCACAACTGGCAAAGGAACCATGTTCTGCTGCAGCAGCTTCCTTGCGTTTTCAGATCATTCAGATAATTGAGCAGCGCTGCTGGATAGACCTGACTCAACGAGACACCTCGTTCGTCCAGCAAACTGGACTCCATTTTCATTTTCGTGAGAGCATTTCTGAGTGGCTGGAAAAAAAAATTATGCTGAATGTCTCCTGAGCAGTTCCCACACCGAGTGCAAAAGTTGAAATGAATGGTTCTGGTACCGTGAGATAGTAGGGAGGCATAGCTTCGACATAACGATCAAATCTTGCACGCCAGTTACCACCATTACGAACTCGGGGATCGTTCTAAACAGTTCTAGTGTGAGCAATAATGAACAAACAAACATATCACTACAGGGCATTACAACAACTTATGCGCTACCATCAACACTGATTTTTTGCGAGCAACCATGCAAAAAAAAGATGGCTCCTGCAAAAGCTTTTCGCTCTCGCGCCGAGAAACTTGGTAGGAACAAAGATGGCTGTTAAGGAGTGGGATAGCAATCAGAAGGGTTTAAGTCGAGACTTCACGACGGGCGCTTAAAACTTTAATATAAGCAACTTGAACAAACATCCGATTTTTCAGAACATGTAGTCCTGAGTTGTCATGAGGCAGGCAGATTTTGTTAAGTGATGAGAAAATGGTAGAATTTTCCCCGCCCTTTTAGCAGATGACTACAATAGGGTTTTCTGGGAAGCATAGCATCTGAAGAAAGAAATTCGCTGCGGTTAACTACACCACATATCCAATAACAGATTCTAACCTTTCTGAGGCTGCGTTCATACTTCGCATCAGCGTACTAGCGACTAGGAAAGTATAGGTATCGATCTAACGTACACCAGCATACTATTGCGACTGGGAAAGCATGGATATAGATCTGGCGAACACTAGTGTATAGCAGCTCCTCCGCCGTTAGTTTTGTCCGCGAAAACGCTAAGGTTCGCTAGATCGCTACCTATTCTTTCCTAGTCGCTAACGCAGGCGTACACTCGAAATGCTGCAGTACATTGACGCAAAGTATGAACGCAGATGGATCAGCCACTGGTGCTTCCACTGACTTATGCATAGACACCCAGTTACAAGGGCCAACAACACCGTCCGTTTGGAGGAAGCATGGCAGAAGTTGTAGACGTTACTCGCACTATAGGAATACTGCTGGCAGATCTCGTCTGTGGCTTGGGAGATGCCACGTCTGCGTGTGGCACGCCTTTGAGCTAGCGGCCGCAAAGCCCTGTCACCCACCGAGTAAGGACAGTTTCTACGACTAAGAGCCAAACTACCTGGGCACGGAATACTACGAGTTGGTTGATGCAGGTCTTGTTTTAACAGTACCTTGTATTCCTCCAGTAGTTGCACAATTACAGGATAGTTATACGGCATGATGATAAGATTTACAAATTGTCCATTCGAGGCGGTTTTCAAATAACCGAAGGGTTTGCCAACCCCTTCAGTCCTACTTGAAGATCGCACAAATACCTGAAAATGACGTTTGGATGACTCTACCCTTACTCACTCAATTGTAGAGAAAAACTCACTTGGTAACACATATTCGTTGACGTGCTTGCATGTCTATCCAAAACATATTCCGCAACAGGGCTCGGCTCCAGTTGATACTTATCGAAGGGCAGATCCGTTTGGATTGTCTTAAAAATCACAATTACAGCTACAAGAAGGGCATTGCAATAACCATATAACTTGTTATAGAAAAATAATTTGAATTTCCTAGAAAGTTGACATTTAAGATGAATATGAATGCGGAATTTTCAATGATGATGGTCGAACAGAAATAAAAGAAGGCGCTCCACAGCCAATTACCGGAACAAACGAATGTACCAGCGTTCATTTGTCGAACAACTGATCGTACCAAACCCTAGCAGGGAAACCCGCGAATTGAGAGGGGGCGAAGTGTAAGACCGCGTTCAAACTTCGCGATTCGCGCGACCACGAGCGAGACGCTCCACCATCAATAGGTGCACCGCCAGAACGACACAATTCAAACTGGCAGTGAGGGAACGCGGCCCAATTTGAATTCTGCCACTGCGGCTTGGAGCGTCCCCGCTCGTGGTCTCGCGATCCAGTCGAGCGATGCGATCGCAAAGTCTGAACGCGCTCTGACCGTACCCTAACTTAAAACTAGGCTGTAAACACCAAAGTGTATGAGTGCTCGCAGCATTATATGATTAACTAAACGAATAATAATAATAATAAATCAGAAGACCATGCAACTTCGAAGGTGCAATACTGAATATGGTTTGTAATAGTAATAGAACGATTGCAAAAAAACCTAGATCTCTCATGCTACAACCCAAAAGCGTTTCAAAACAACGAAAGTTAAATAAGAACCACCAAACGAAACGGCGATGGTTCTAGATATACGTGCGCCTTGATAACATGAAAAGCTTTGTGGAAATCCGAGAAATACTAGACATTCGTAATGTAAACAGTTGTTCAACCTCATTCATACTTACCGGAGCAGGCACAGGATCAATTGAAAAGACAATACAAGGATGCGCCCGACGCGGAGGTAGCTGCCCTTTCCTGAAAATAAGAATCCCTTCTGATTCAGAATACAAGAACAAAGGGAGATTTTAGACTTTTGTGAACATACTTCCTAGCAACCGTAACACCCACACTAACAATCTTTACACATCTATACGCAGATCTTTTGGCTTTAACGAAGTTGGGCGAGAAGGTGACATGGCAACGAAACTGAACATGGTTTTTCAGAGTACAACTGTGGTTGTCTGTGTTCCGCTAGGCCTATGCATTGAGAGAAAAGCACGTTAACGTGCTCTCCCCCACACCCACCCAGTAACTAAAGCGCCGGCTTTTTTCTGCGTGTGGTGGTACAGCATTCGATTGTTTACAAAAAAAAACGAGCTTACTCGATGCGGTCATGCCAGAACGCTTCCGGGATTGGCCAATGTCCTGTTGGTGGTCGGCCACCCAGACCTTTTACGTAAACCAAGGTTAACGGTTTTGCTTCCATATGGCTTCGTAAACGCAGGCGGGCTTTATCTCGATCGGACATGTTTTCTTCGTTTGTATCCCTTATGACTGCAAAGGGTTCAGTTTGACTCTTCATGAAATTCTATCAAAGAATCAGAAACTTACTAGCAAGGGTGGGACATTCGAAACGAACAATAATACCATTCAGCTGAATGGCCTGAACAATCTGATCAATCATTGGTCCGATGAGTTTGTGTGATTGAAGGAGGTAGGAGCGACCTAAATTTAGGAAGTGATCATAAAAACATCTAGGAAAGAAGTCCAAATGAAACTTCTGATAATTCGCTCAAGAGAACCTTCGCACAATAGGGCATCAAAAACTACGCGAGCTGAATCACCTCGCATTTTTGTTGAAATCAATTTAACGGAAGGGATTCAAGACTTCCCACGGAAAATGGATTTCAGTCTACCGCAAACGTTGTTGAAAAAAATAATTTTCTCGTGTGATACTTGCTTACCTGCTGTTTTACACTTGGCACCGCTACCATTCATTGAAGCCCCATTGAAGTTTACAATCGCTGAATCATCTCCCTCATTGAATTGCCTTTTTGTGAAAGGCCCAGCTCCATTAGAGGGTCGATCCCACGAGAGTAGCGCTCGCATCCGAGACAACATCGCACGACTTTAAGCGCTTTAAGCGATATTTCGATTCTCAATTGTTCCAAAAAGCAATTTCCACTAAGCTCCTAACTGATGAGCACTGCAGAAACAAATCTGGGAGATTGCCTATTTTCTAACTTGTTGTTCAACAGTTCTTATGTATTGCAGAGGGGTAGGGGTCACTCAGGAGGTCATAGGGTTTTCGCAAAAAGGTTCCTCAATGTTGTAGAAGTACATGTGACCCTTTCCCCTGTGTATTCCTTAGAATGCTAAGAAGGGGCAAAAAAAGAGTTCTGCGGATTCATTACGAACTTGATGATAGGAAGCGCTTTCACTTTTTAAACAAAACGTTCTCGAGAACTGGCGTTTTTGGGCAGATAAAGGATTCAGATTTACATACAAAGAAAAAACAGAAGTGAATTTGAAAATTTTTGTCACCATGGTGACTCGAAATACCAGTCTATTGCCTTTTTTGGCATTCTTAAAAACACGCATGAAAAAAAGCCTCTTCCGTGGTCCATGGGTGTTTCTCTGTCACACGCTACAAATAGTTTCGAAAAACTTGGATGACTCTGGCAAGGTTTGGGCCGAATACAGTAGACCATAGCGTGAGTCTATCTGCACGCTATCTCTCCGTTTTCCTGCTTTTCACCTGATTCTCCTTGTAAGATCTACTTGCCATTAAGAAAGGCTTCCTACTAATCCGAAGATGATCGGATCATCGGTAAGCCGTAAGCCTTAAGATAGTTCCAGTTCAGACCAGTAGTTCAAAACAGTAGTTCACATTACTTTAAGTAAGAAAAAGAGAGAATCAGTGTAGCTCTTACCGCCTGTAGATGCGCAAACTGGTTCGATCGGTGGTCCTCCGTTGGGAAGGATGATCGGAGGGGTAAGATTAACTCGCATCCCTTTTGATGGATAGCGAAGAACCTTCAAGAAAAAAAAACGTTCAAAAGGAGCATTCATTTCCCACAGAGATAAATGAAAAAGGACTCACACATGTAAACAGCCTTTGGTCCCAACGGAAAGATTCCATGGTCATCTCAGAACCTAGATACGGCCGTCCAGTGGGAGCCAGCTGAAAACAAACTGATACCATTTGCCCCATTTAGCACCACTACCTTCCTCACCAAGGTCGATGTAAACCTGGGGCTATTTGGTATTCTAACCACAACTATGACATTCGTTTTTAAGGCTGGTCCATTTGGCGCCACCACGTTCGCCACAAAAATCGGCGTAATTCTGCACATTTGGCTTATCCTGATCACGAATTCGACAATAATTCGGCTCGAAATGTTAGTCGCACGCGTTTTAGGCGACGGGACCAGGTGCTTGTTTGACCCCGACGCATTAGCGCGGACTCCTGGCTGTTCTGCTGTGCCAAGCGGTATGCTAACGCAGTCAGAGAATACGGCTAAACGACATAGTACCCTTTCCGATTGATTTTGATAGCGATCCTTCATTCTGCTAACGCTTAGTCTTACAAAAGAAATGGATTAGTACCTCGGGTGAAGGGTGCAAACAACAGCATAGGCTGTGCTGTCACGTATACTGCTTTCTTCCATCCCTAACTCCCTTGGCACCCAAGAAAGCACTATACTCGTGTACAGGAGGTCGATTTACCGAAGCGGCGGGTCTTCAGCGAATTTCGTGTACTAGGGTTCTTTAGCGCCGGCTCCTGCGGCGCCGGCGTCAGGCGATCTCGGGCCCAGCAGTAGTGATATTTAGGCACTATTCAACTATTACTACCGCAGCCTTCTGAAGTTCTCTACCGATTTCTTTCTGCCTAGAACAGATTTGGCTGAAAGTTTGTTTCAACTTTAGTTCGACCTCCTGAATACGAATATCACTTCCGCTGTGTTTGAAAGTGCATGGCGCTTGCGCCAAAAACGCAGTGTCATCAAATCTGCCGAAAACTTGTATACTGGGGTAATTTGACATCCTCATTGCGAACATGACATTCAATCTCGGCCCGGCTCTGATGGAAGAACTATCTGCGCTCTGCCAAGAATGTGCCCCGTCTGAAAGAAATCACACATTTTCCGGGGCTCAGCTTTAGCAGAGCGTTCAGTAGTGACACTGGTGTCAAAAGATGAATGCCATACTCGTAACCTGGACATCAAATAACCCCTATTATGCACATTTTTATCGACTTTGGTGAGGAAGGCGGTGGCGTCAAATTGGCATCAGCGTGAAATTCTAATGCCATATCCATGATCAGGACATCGAATAAGCCATATAGGCGAAGTTTCAGCAAAAATTTTTCAGAGTTTTTGGGGGAATAAGTGTGATTAGTACATATTGTCAAACTACCTTTGGAGACAAGGTTTCAGCGAATTTAGTGACTCAGGGTATTTGGTGCTGGCGGCTGTGGCGCGAGCGCCAGGCTTTTTCAGGCTGAGCGGGTGTGATATCCGTGTTCAGGGTCAAAGAAACCCTGAGTATGTACAAAGTTTCAGCCAAATCTTCCATTTTATAAAAAAATCGTTTAGAAAAAAGGGCATGGTTTCGGAAGACTGGGGTAGTAATAGTTTAGTAGCGCCAGCAATTGAATCGATGGACTCGAAACAGGCAACATTTGTAGCACTGGATTGTAAATATAGTTACCATAGCCCCACACAATCATAAGCCAACATTATTCATCAGCTCTATTTTAAGCGCGGTTGAGAGATGGCATCCGCATGAAACAAAAAGCATGCAAATTGTCCCGAAATTTTTTAAAGGAGTAAGGATAAAGCGCTCGCCGTCGATTAATCCTTTTTTTAGCAAACAGCACGCATTCATATTCCAATCTCGATCGTAGAGGCTTACGGAATGCGATGTGGCCTACACAGTGAATTGCGGGGGCAAGCTGATGTACCAGTGTTCTCATTCTCCCGTACCAGTGTTCTCATTCTCCCACACGAGTCTGGTACCAATTTACCGTTCCCGGAGGAAAGAAGGCTTGGTTAGTTTGGACGGAAGCCGAAACGGGATTTGATCCCGGACCGTGCGCGTGGTGAAGCGCGCCATCTGCCGCTACACCACTTCTGCCTACCTAAAATTCCTAATACTTTCGAATTCTAGATTATAAATTGCATGTTGTTTCCCTTCTCAAAAAACAAAAACGGCTCAGCAATTGCAGGAACCACCAACGAAGGGCATGAGCTAAGTGCTTCTTTACGAAAGGGCGACGTCCCTATTATGCTTCGTCACTAATCAATAATTTGAAAACTGACTCGAAAATCGGGAGGAATATCGGCAATAGAGGTAGAATCGGTGATAGCGAATAAAATAACCGGCTCAAAATAAGTTGGAAATCGTCCGCATCCATAATTGTCTATCCCTGAAAGCATAATTGCAAATGCTTTCACTCAATTATCTAAGTTACACCGACTACATGGCAGCAGCTCTCGAAGTCTGGAGCCAAGTCTCTGGCGCATAAACAAAATAAAATTGTAATTACCAGTTTGAGCACGATGGACATTGATGAATTTTAAGGCGTTCATAAACGCATCTGAGATCGATCCTCGCCCGCGTGGACGTAATTTTTTCAACTGGTCGTGCAATACAGCACTGCTTTCTCGCCATCCGGACTAAATAATTGATAATTACAAGGATATCATGATGATTGGTACAGAATAGAAGGGAGGCTACCTTAATACATGCCGGATATTCTTCTGTCGTAATCAGGAAAAAGCGATCGTATCCGCGCGTTGCAACGTCCTTCATGCGCTGCTGCAAGAGAGCGAAATATCACAATTTTACGCTATTATGCTCTGCTGTTATACAGGGACCTACTTAGTGAGCCCTTTAGCGCTGACTATACATGAATTCTACCTACCTTCTGCAACGCATCGATTATGTTACGCGCCACATCCAGATAGGAAGTCCCGAGGTAGGTCTTTTGTGCCATTGAGGCACTTGTGTCAACGATTAGCAAAATGATAGTCATGGTTCATTGAGCGCTCGCCTCGCAACGACAAAATGCCACACGTGACGACCACGCACCACCCCGAACCTAGACGAAATGAACCACTGCTGAGCTCGCTTCGAGAAGAGGCGTAACAGGGCGGCGAAAAACGTTGTTGTCTGCAATTACAGATTGGGCGAACTACAGTAAGAAAAATTCAAATTGTTTTCGAGACTTGGGGAATGTTTCTTATTGCTGGGCAGATTTCTCGTTTCACATGTGTAGCATAATGTGATGTTAATGTTACTGTAAGAGCACGTGTCTTTTCCTGTGCTCAGCAATGCACATTAAACAATGAAAAGGGTTGCAATAGGATTCTTTTAATATGAGCAGATTCCTGGCTTTTGTATTCAAAAACATTGTTCTCAGTATCAGGAGGCTGTTGAGGCGAAGGTGGCGTGGTGGGAGGCCGCACTTACTACACGCGCGGTCCTGGGTTCGAGCATAGATCGGCTTCTGCTGAAGCCAGTCAAGCCTTCTATGCCGCGGGAACGGTAATTTGATTCCAGACGATCGTCCCGTAGGGTGGAAGATAAGGATAAGAAACACTGATTCTAAATCGGCCAGCCCCGCAAGTCATTGTATAGGCCTGATCGCATTCAATAAGCCACTACGATTCTGAATAGGAAGTAGAATGCGTGCTGCATCCCGAAAAATAATTGGTCCACGGCGAAGGCTCCAGCTCTTGTTAGACACCACTATGACCACTTAACAGCTGTAGAAAAAAATTTGATTAGTAGCTCGTGTGTTTACAACACTCAAGGATGATTGTACGTTGGTTTTCTGGCTAAACAGAAACTGATCAGGAAAAAATTTGCGAACAAACTGTGAAAGATGCCCACAGCAAAAGCCAACCAGAGGAGCTTGCACAGAGTACAGCATCGTGATGTGTGAAATGGTGGCGTCAGTACGACCCCCCTCTCCAACACCTACCCACCAATATCCCACATTGTCCAGTTTTTCACCCAGAAAATTACCCGTCGAGCGGGGAGGGGAAGGAAGCAGAGGTGTACGGTGAAGGGGTTCGGTGAGGGGCGCGTAGCGCACGCTCGAGCGGTAGCATGCAGCAACAACAACAGATAAGAAAACAACCGCTAGAAAAAAAGCAGATTAATGCATGATCATGAAACGCCCTAGGATGTTGTTTCGATTGCGTATACCCTCATGGCATATAAGACAGCCATTTAGTACACTTCGAGCCATTGCACAAGTTGTTCGCGTGCTAGCTGGACGTAGGCCGTGCGAGGGCAGGATGGGAGCGGGGACTGGATACCCCCCCCCTGCTTCCCTCCACCAGACGTGCTCAGCCGGGCCTGGGAACATGCACGTGAAGGCGCTTGAGGGAAGCGAGTGAACGGGTACGGTGAGAAGGTGCGTAGCGCACGCTTGAATAGCAGCGCTCAAAGAGGAGGAAAGAACCGCTGACTAAGCTGCGAACTAAATCACATTACTGTAACAAGCGAAAATGTTCTTTTAGTTGTGATAATACTTTCAACTATACAACACAACTATTTAGTACACCCCGAGCACAAGCTCACAAGCTGCTTGCGTGACGGCTTGACGTGAAGTCGTGCGGGGAATAGGTTTGGGGGGGGGGGAAGAGAGGGGAGGAGAACGGCACTCATTGAGTCCTACACTGGACTGCTCACCCGGACTTGGAAATATGTAGTTTGAGTGAGCGGACGCGTAGCGCACGCTTGAACAGGAGCATGCAGCCGGAGTGTAGGAAGCAACTGCTAGCGAAACTGCAAGCTAATTCATATTAGCAAACTAAAATGTTGTTTTGATTGTAATAATTCCACCAACTATACAACATAACCTTTTGTACACTGCAAGCCACTTCACAATCTTCTCGCGCGGCAACTGGACGAAGCCCATGGAGGCTGGCGAGGCGAACCAGTGGGAGGGTAGCGTATGGTATACCAGAATCACCGCCGCTCCCCTTTGAGCAGGCGCACGCAGCGACTGTGGAGCGTCTAGGAGTGTGATAGGGCGAACAGAAGAGGGATCGACCGTATGCAAAACTGGCGAACCATTACATGTTGCAGTATCAAATAGTGGCAGTGATTTGATTGCGATAAAACACAAAATACCCTCACCTAACCATTATCATACACCGTAGCTAGTTGAAAATGCAGGTATGATGCTATTGTTCAGAGAAGTTGAACATCTGCTCACATAAAAGAAAAGCCGGATACTAGCTGGGTATTGAAATATGTGGAAAAAGGCAAGCGCGGCGGTTCTGACCCCGCCCGGCGAAGCCGCTTATATCTCGGAAGGACGCGCGCCGGCATCAGCCGGCAAAGCCGGCTGGTATCAATATATGTTGCGTAGTAGATGAAAAAATTCCGTTTTTATTACATGCATCGCAACACCAACGATGGGCGATTAACTTGTCATTAACATGAAATCCACCTGCTAAGGTTGCATGAATGGCTGGCAAGAGTGACATATTTAGCAGCGTTCAATATCTTACAAACTACTTCGTTATACGTTCTCATCAGTGATTTAAAAGTTGAAAAGCAAAAAAAATATTTGAAATACTCACTGAACGCATAAAGTGTGTTCCAATATTGGAGTTTTTGATTTCTTTTCCAAACTTCCTGTTTCAGGCGAAGTATATACCCCCCTAGTGGGATGAGTACATTTTCTAGTGCTATCAGAGGAGTGATGGCTGTGGGAAAATTTCGCTTACTGAGAGGTTTTTTTTGGCAGTGTAGTGGTCAGAGATGTCGTGAAAATGTCCCCTTATCTTTACTTATCAATTGATAAAATTGCTTGTCACTCGTCATCAATGTCGCTATCACTAAAACTCCATAATTTCGTGGTGTAGAGGCTCCAGCGTTTGATTGAACAACAACTGCATCGTTCTCTATCAGGCCCTATCAGCTGTTATCATTTCTTGTCACCCGCCGTCGCATTCTCCACCTTCCCCTTGATATCATTTGCTGAAATCAACGCCTAACTGATGCTGTGTACCGCGTTATGAGTATGTTGTCCTTTCCACTCTAACTCCCTTTATCAGCGGCTAGCAGTTCTTGTCACCCACATATTCCTGTGCCATAACCTATCACATACCTCGAAAAAGCGTCC